GGAAAGGAAATATTCATGCCCTGTTGGTGAGAATGGAGACTAGTGCTGCCACTGGAGGAAGCACTATGAGGTTTACTAAAAAAATTAAAAATTAAATGGCCTTTTCATCAAGCAATCCTACTTCTGGGAATATATCCACAGAAACCTGAAACACTAAAGCAAAAGAATATGTGCACCCCTGTGTTCATTTCAGTGTTATTTACAATACCCAAGATCTACAAACAGCTAAAGTGACTATCAGATGAATGGATAAAAAAGCTGTGGTACATTTACACAATTGAATACTACTCAGTTGTAAAAAAATATAAAATAATGAAATCTTACTTTTTGGGTCAGCATAGAGAGTATTAGTCTATGTGAAGCCAGTCAGGAAAAGACAAATACAATATGACCTCACTTATATGTAGAATCTAATGAACAAAATAAACCGACAAACAAAATAGAAAGAGAGGCATAGATACACGAAATAGACTGACAACTGTCAAAAGAGAGGGGTGGGGGGCTTGGTAAAAGAAGGTGAAGGTATTAACCAAAAAACTACATTATATATATTCATAAATAACCAAGACATGGAAACAACCTACGTACCTATGTGTCCTCCAAAGGTGAATAGATGAAATAAATGTGGTACATGTGTGTATATGTATATAACACCTAGACACAGACAACAGTGTGGTGATAGCCAGAGGGAAAGGTGAGGTAGATATGTAGCTTTGGGCAAAGGGGTGGGATACTAGTAAATGGAGACGGAAAGAGACTTTGCTTTGGGTAATGGATGCATGAGGCAGTATGCAGATGATGTTGAGTTGTACACTTGAAACCTCTATGGTTTTGTGAACCAATGTCACCCCAATAAATTCAAATTATTTTAAAAACAATGAAAACACAAGACAGAGACTGGAAATAATTTGCAAAACACATATCTGGTAAAAGAATTGTATCCAAAATGTAGAAAGAATTCTTAAAAATGATCAACATTAAGGAAACTTACTTATCTAAAAATAAAAGACCAATAGTGGAATGGTGGACCCTTGACATCATGCATTTGTGAAAAATCATAGAATGATATAACACAAAGTGTCAGTCCTAATGTAAACTGTAGATTTTCATTAATAATAATGTTGGGCCTACAAAAAAACGTAGGGGAAATACTGAATGGCATTGGTCTTGGCAACAAGTTTTTTTTAATATGCTATCAAAAACACAAGCAACAGAAACAAAAATAAACAAGTGGGACTACATTAAACTACAAAGCTTTTGCACAGCAAAAGAAACAATTAACACAATGACAATGCAACCTACAGAATAGGAAAAATGTTTTCAAACCATATATCTTATAAAGGATTAATATTCAAAATATGTAAGCAACTCATATAACTCAGTAGTCCAATTTAAAAATGGACAGAGTATCTGAATATATTTTTCCAGAGAATTCATACAGATGGCCAACAGATACATAAAATTTGCTCAACATCACTAATCAATCAGAGAAAAGCAAATCATAACCACAATGAGATATCACCTCATGTCTGTTATATAAAAAAGACAAGTAATACAAGTGCTGGTAAGAATGTGGAAAAAGGAAACCCTTGTTCACTGTTGATGGGGATGTAAGTTGGTGAATTACAGTGAAAACAATATGCAAGGTCATCAAAAAATTTAAATTAGACCTGTCACCTGATCCAGCAATCCCACTTCAGAGTATATATGGAAAGAAAATGAAATCAGAAACTTAAAGAGATATCTGCACCCCCTTATGTTCATTGCAGCATTATCCACAATAACCAAGACACAGAAACAACCTACGTGTCCTTCAGTGAATGAATAGATAAAATAAATGTGGTACCTGTGTATGCATGCAAATGCATACACATATACACAAAGAAATATTATTCAGCCATAAAAAGAAAGAAACCCTGCCTTATTGAATCATAGATGGACTTTGAAGGCATTGTTCTGTGTGAAATAAGTCAGACAATAAAACAAATACTGTATGATCTCACTTATATTTAGAATCTATAAAATGAAAACTTATAGAAACAGAAAATAAATTGGTGGTTGCCAGGAACTGGGGTTTGGGGAAGTGGGAATATGTTGTTCAAAGGGAACAAACTTCCAGTTATAACACATAGTTCTGGGGATATAATGTACACTATGGTGACTATAGTTGACAATACTTGTTGTATACTTGAGAGTTGCTAACAAAGTAGTTTTTAAATGTTCTTATCACAAAAAAGGTAATTATGTGAGGCAGTGGATGTGCTAGCTAACCTTATTGTGGTAATCATTTCTCAATACATATGTCTATCAAATATCATGTTTCACACTTTAAACTTATACAATGTTCTGTGTCAATTATATTTCAACAAAGCTAGAAAATAAAAATAAGAACAAAAACAAAACAAAAACTACTGACTTTTAGAATAAAACCAGTTCCTTCCCACTGAAGGGCCAATGGCCAATGGTGGCTTAATATGATACTACCTCCAGGATAATGGGATCAAATCATCAAACAAAGGCAAACAAAAAAGCTATAATGTTAAAATTTCAGACACTGACCAGCAGATGAGGAAGGTATGTGAAAGCAGCAGAGAGGTCTTCCTTGCATTCTGAATCAGATGCTGTATATCTCAGCCTATTCTATTCTGAATATAGATTAGGATTAAACTTTAAGTTTAGGCCCCCTGGTTCCAAGAATTCTCTATTCAAGCAGATTTTGCTTTGATAGTTGCAAACCCTCCTAATGAAAGTTGATAAGTTATTGAAGTGTTCCATTTGAAACAAGTCTTCCTTGTGTTCCATGAATCATATTTTCTGGTGGTGGGTTCACTTTCTCCCTCTATTACCAATGTCACTTCCCTATTAAATACAGTTGCATTACTCTCAACCTGGCATAGAACACTTGCTTTTAGAAAAACATTTACCTCCCCTAAACACTTACCCTGAAGTCACTAGTTTTTAACCAGGCTCTTTTGACACTTCCAGGGGGAATGGAGGAGGGAGAAAATGTTGCTTCACATTAAATGGATATCGTTGGGTTATTTGCAACACCAACCCTGCATAATGGATTATGGTCTCTTTTAAAAAAATTATTGATTAATTTATTACATATGTGTCTTTATCCCCACATTACCTCCACAACTCCCCCACTCATGCTCACCCCAC